AAGGCTGCCATTACTTCATGTAGCACAAATGTTTTCATTTAAAATTCAGTTTGTAGATTAAAAAATAGATGGAAAAAGAGAAGCGTTGGCAATCAACCTAAGGTTGACTGCAATGGAATCTTCCATTTCTTTCGCTGAATCAAGAAGCCTCTCTGCCTGACCATGACAAGATTCACACCTGCAGTTTCAAGACATTAGTGAGAGGATAGTTAACTGAGATAAAGAATGCTTAGAACAAAATTTTTAGTAGGTCCATGCTGTTCTTAACTAACAATGACCACAAATGAAAAAGAAAAAAACTTCATAAAGCCTAGCTTTTACTAAAAAAATTGAAAGACTGTGAAACAGCTTCAATAAATCAATTTTTTTTAAAACTATGTTCAGAAACTACTACAAGCTTAGCTGAAGATATCTGAGGTCAATTAACAAAATGAGGATCATAAATAAAGACGGCTTATTTATTGGATTAAAAGAAAACATTATCTCATACTGTCACTTTTTTTTTTATTAAGTAACAACAGTAGCAAAATTACACTCAAAACACACACCTATTTCACGAAATTTTTAATTCTCTAATAGTTATTTATATAATATCACAGCTAGGAAAATATTTATGGGTTAAGGGTTGCAGATGTCTGAACTACAGCAAGTGATGCTTCCCGCATGATTTCTGTTAAAAATAGAAATAAATGATATCACACAATGCAAAGGTAGCCAGCAGCCACCCTATATACTCTGCATAGAATTGAAGGATGCCATGAACTACCTTTGGAGATATTTTTATAAAAGCATTTCAATTTCTTCTTCCTCCTCTGCAGAAGAAACACTCAAATCAGGAATGATTGACAAATTGACAATATGTTCAATTCCACAACTTGATTTACTATGATGATGAATCAACCTTATGACTTACCCTCAGCCATATGCTTTTCCAAGGAACAAAGCATTCCTTCTCATCATTTTTCTGAAGGGTACAATTTCTTCACATAATACAAATACGTCGTATTTCATGTGTGTCCTCAAGAATATCAAGCAGCATTTGTTTGGTAGCCCCCGCTC